AATACAGATATCTACTGATAAGATGACCAAAAGTTGACCATTAAAATGTAACCCGCAGCCAATCCATGCATGTACTGAAACTGTATATGGCAAAGATGATATCACAACTCAGTAGATAAAAGATTAACTGTTATAATCCTTCATCCATTATTTTGGCCATAGGCAACAATCCTAACTTTGCTTGAATTCCAAAACTATATTGTAAATTATTGAAATACTACATAAAAAATCCTAAGTCTTAAAGCTTCCTGTTAAAAATATGAGAAAATACCTACAACCTTGGACTAAAGAAACATTTATTCCACAATACATCAAAACCAAGTCTTGAAGTAATCAATTAAAAATCTTTTTTCCACAAAGCAGCATAAACAGAATAATGGGAGTAGCAGTCTTGGAAATTGTATTTGCAACATCATTGGTTATAGACAATTAGTATCCAGCATGTGTAAACATACTACATATTGATATAGAAAAGCATAACTAACCCAATTTAAAATAAAATGATGAATTGGCAATCCACATGGCTAGAAAAGTATGGGGTCAACAAATATATGTAAAGATATCCAGAACTGTTAGTAATCAAGAAAGGTCAAAGTAATACAATAATTAAATATAACTGAATTACTTTCAGATCAGCAAAATAAATAAACAAGTAAACATTTGGCAAAGCCTAGTACTAGCAAGGACCTGCGGCAAAGGGCTGTCTGTTGGTAGGTGTGTTAATTGTTGCAGCCACTTGGGAGAATAATTTGGTATATGTATTATAGTTGAGGATGCAGTTATTATCAACCTGACAGTATCACTTTGCTATCTTTCTTTCCAAAGTCTTGGTTTATTTCCATGAAGCACAAACACTGGTGAAAAAAGCAAACATGAGGTTTAGCAGTGGTAATAAACAATCAACCTAGGTAGTTGTCAAAAAAAGAAAAAGAATGACCAACTAAAATGCAACACATTCACATGGTAAAATGCTTGTGTAAGTGCCAGTAAGTAATCTGGATCCATTTGTATCAATATGCGTAATCTCAAAACAATGTTGAGGGAAATAAGCCAGCTTTATAATGATAAGCATGGTGTTAAAAGACTTAGGAAATTTAAAAACATGCAAAACATATATACACATATACAAAAATGAAGAAAATAGAGCCATGGCTGGACACACAGGTGGCTTCAGACTCTATCAGTGTTTTATTTTTTAATTCCTATTTAACCAAAAATAAAAGAGTACAAAGAAAATGTGGCCTAATGTTAATTTGACAAAGTTGAAGGGTCAGTCTACGAATATTTGTTATGAATTTCTCTGTCCTTTTCTATATCATTGAAGTGTTCTCTAATTAATTCAGTTATGTTAGTTTGTATAGAGTCGCTGGCACACCGTCAGGCTCAGAAAGTGATTGTTTCCTTCCTTCTTTGTTGCTGGCTGCCAGCTGCTCTACAGAGTGAGTGCCCAGGTATTACCCTCCGATTCTTAGCCCAAGGGTGGACTGGAACACTTTGGCTCTTCCTGAGCCAAAGGCATCCTAGGTGGTCTCACCATTTTGTCTTCAAGCTTAGACAATGTGGGTGGTAAGTTCTGACTCACCCTCATTCTGAGTGCAGAATTTTCGCTACTCTGGCAGTTTCTAGCCTGTAGATAAGTCCAAAATAGAAAGATACAAGACCTCATTCCTCACTGAATTAGGACTATGGTGTCATAACTGAGCACACCTTTCTGGAATTCTTACTCCAGTAAACGAAGAGATGGAAGGTCAGACAGGTTCAGAAATACAAACCTAAGACAGATATGTGACCAAAATGATCACCTCTTAGAAGAAGTGCTAAAGTTGTAATTCCACACAGAACGAATTGGAAATTTCTCCTTAGAAGTGAGCTCCAGGGGCAGAAGGAGAAGAAGTGCACTCCAGTCACTGAAGGATGAACACATTCTGAGCTAAAATCAACTTTGAATGGAAGAAGCAGGACTGAGAGATGGAGGTGTTACAGGCAGGAAGTAATGATAGACTACTTTAGTGATCAACTTGGAGATGCTGCTGGTAGCAGAAACAAAGGAGTGATTGTGATCAGAAAACTTTGGATGAGGAGAATTTAGGTCATTTTAGATGTGGAAGATGTGGAAAGGGAAGGACTTTGATAACACTGTAGGACTTTCCAGATGCTTTTAGAAACAATTGGAAGAAACAAATTGACACGAACATCCTACTTTTGTATCAACCATGACATGGACTCTAACCTTCAGTGAGGTCTTCAAAGGCCACCAGTTGTCCTTCTGAGAAAATTCTGTTGTAACTAGATCCTTGATGAAATGCTTTGTAGCCATTAACCTTAGCTTTACCTTCGAGAAGATGTGTTTTTTCAGTGGAAAACTATAATCTTTCTAGTAATGGTTGCACCTGTTCCTCTCTCTCACATTTTTACTGAGTGAAATGGGCTCCTTTTTTTCCTATCTAAAAAGTTAGGATAACAACAACCCTTTCCTCTTATAGCTGCTGCCAGGCTTCAGTGAGGTCATGAGCCATGAGCTATATGCACACAGTTGAAAGAAGGATCTCTAAGGTTTCCCTATCATTGTGATGTTCTCTGTCTGCAAAGAGTAAGGAGCACAGTGGATGGAAATTACTGAGAGACATACTGTACCCCGGAATGAAGACAAAATTAAGATCGAGAATTTTTAGAAATTGAGGGTGGGACATGTAGAAGAAGCACAAACTGTCTGACACTGATGGATTTCCAGCCAAATGTATGTGATAGAAGAAGATTTTCCATCGAGCTATGGACACATGACAATAGCAGCCCCATATGCATGAGAGGATGTCATCTAGCTGAAAAGTCAGGTACTCAGTACACTAGCACATCTGCTTACATGTAATTTGGCAAAATTGAGCAAAAGGGAAGGAAAAGGAGGAGAAAGAGGAGTGGGGAGGGAAAGAAAATGTAGGGAGGAGAAGCAAAACACTCACAAAAATTAGTCTAATGCTGTAAATATGCTCAGCCAAAAACCATTTGTGACACATGCCATAAGTGTAAAACAGTGTAGAGATATAATTTTCACACTGGCATGCTTTTCTACAGAAGTGCCCATAGACAGGGACTGCGAGCCAGGAGTGGCCTGAGATGCAGCCTGGAGCAAATTTCTTACTTTGTTTTGTAGCATGGCTATATTCTTTTATTAAAAAGCATGCCTCCAATTTTGAAACAAAGTGAATGTATGATACAATATATGTCATACTTATCTTGCATCTACATATATCCCCTAGGGATATAAGTTTTTGTGCCATCCTGCTCTAGTTTTAGAAGAATCATAAACAAAATTATATAATTATTCTAAAGGTGAATAAAATAAACAAAAAATGTAAAACTGTAATCTTATCAATAAATTGGCATTCCAGAGTTTCACAACACAACTGTAGTTTACAAAAATAGTATCTGAAGATTTATTCATTATCCACCTACTTGGTCTTGTCAAAAGAACACAAACAGAACCACCTGAGACTTCTGGTCTACCCTCAATTAGTAGCTGCTCCCATGTTGCTAAAACAACTTCTTTGGGGGAGTAATATGTCTAACATTCTCAGCAAGGGTATGTTCTTCACTAGAATTCTTCATTACTCATAAACTCGAACTCCTTGTTGCACTGGAAAACGAGAGAGCATCTCTGTTCACTGCTCCTACACCTCTTAACTTGCTTGCCATGTCCAAACAGCCTCAGCCCTAATGGCAGCTGAGACAAGAAATGATCAGGAACACTTGACATTCTTTCACTGACATGGTCTCTTGTTTATAAACTCTACTTCCTCAACTCTGCAATCTGATAGGAAGTTTTTTCATTATCATTTTGTATCTTTTCTCAAGGAACTTTTTTATTATTAAAAAGTATATAATTCTTGGAAAAGGAGATGGAATTGAAGAATATGTCCTCTTGAAATGATCCAAAGGGAAATAGGGATGTGAATTTGGTAATTTAAAATTGATATCAATATATATTATTTGCCTTAGATGATAATTGATAATGTCCACGTTTACTTAGTTTTTTCTTAAAGAAGTTAAGGTTAGGGTTAGGGTTAGGGTTAGGGTTAGGGTTAGGGTTAGGGTTAGGGCTAGGGTTAGGGTTAGGGTTAAGGTTAGGGTTGTAGTTAGAAATAGAGACAAGTACCAGGCAGTCTTGAGATCAGGAGAGATGTAGTGTAGGCATGCTGTAAATTCGGCAGGTACCAACCCATGGAACTGCAATTACAAGTCAAGACTTTTTTGACAAGGGTTAAAATTATTAAAATGGTAGAATATAGATTGCTACCCAATAGCATGTGATTTTGAGCAAGTTGCTAAACCTCTGTATGCCTCAGATTTATCAATTATAAAATAAAAATGAAAATACTAGCACTCATGTATGGATTTTTGATTGTTAATTGAGAAAAAGTATAATCGGTATTGTGCCTAGGGCTATTAGTCAATTACAAGATGATATTTTTATTTCAATTAAGAATAAGAAACATAAGGGGAACAGGTGAATTGCTGTACTGTGCATACATCATTCAATCTTGCTCTTACATCTCGGGCTTTCTGCATAGGTCTTAAAATTAGCAAAAATAAATAACACCTAGAAAATCTGACTTGGATTTTCTCACCTCTGTGCTTATGCTTATTCTGTTTGTTGTTCCTCAGTGGCTTTCTCTCATATACTTACTTTCATTATGAATCTCATGCTGTCTGATACTTTCCCACCAGAGTGATCCAAGTTAAAAATTAAAAGCATCTAGTATTATACATGGTTGTCAGTCAGTTGATGCTAGTTGTTATTGGTTTACACCTTAGTGTAGTCCATTATACTTAGCAGATTACATAAACCACTGTGTGGACCATAACAATTGCTGGATAACTCTCCCTTTGATTTTAAAAAATAAGCAAGACTGATAGAATGTATTTAGAGGAATCAAGATCTCATTCTATCATGTCTACCCTCAGCATTGTGTTTTATGGCTAATAATTTTCTTCACATTTTGCAGGGATCTAAAACTTGGCAGTGTGTACCAGTATCAGGTTATTACCATTTCGGGAACTGAAGAAAGTGAACCATCACCTGCTACCATATACATCCATGGCAGTGGATACTGTGGTGATGGTATTATCCAGAGGTAAGTAGAACAAACTAAGGGGAAGGGAGACACATTGCTAATTGGGCCAAGAAATGGTTAGGGTGCTTAAATAGAAGAGTTTATGAAGTATTTGGTGTGAAATCTGAAGTATCAGTGATCCCCAACAGCCTATCAATTGGTCTTCAAACAATTTGCTGGCCTTGGAAGAAAATAAATAGCCCTTCTTTTGAACACATACATTTTTTCAGTATGGCATGTAGTAATTAATGTGGGCAGAACTTCCACTGTACACTTATCATTTGCCCTTGTTCTTATTTATTTTATATGCACAACAAATAGTGTATAGTTTTTGTTTTGCTTTATTTTGTTTTGTTTCTGACATAGCCCTCATTCACTTGGAGAAATGGGTAACTTAGCTGGTCACCATTTACATTTGTTAAACTGCAATTTCAAAAATAGGTTAAAGGCCCATGAAAATAGCAAAGTGTTTTATTCCAATGCCAGGGCCTCCCCTCATGTTAAGCAAGTGCTTCACCACTGTGCTGCATCCCCAGACTTGCTTCAAAGTTTGTTGTGAGACTGAGTCTCACCAATTTCTCTACCACCTGAGTTTCACCTCAAATCTCTGGCCCTATTACCTCAGCCTCCCAAGTGGCTGACATTTCAGGAATGCATTCCCACATCTGACAGTAACAGAGTATTCTAAAATACAATAATGTCGAAAAAGTGACTGGTAAGCAGTGCTCTGCAGCGCTTATTGAGTCTGAGGATGTTTACACTGAGGGAAATGAATCAGTGAGTGTAAAGCTTCCAACTTCTATTTTGACTGGCAAATATAAATATAAAGGTACTTGCCTATGAAACGCGTTTTAAGGATTGTTAGCCCTTTCATCTCTTTCGTTCTTCTTTTGGGCAAAATATTATGCAAGTAGTCATCAACCCCTTTGCATTGTTTATAAAAGTCAACATAGAAACCTTTGAGTTCTTTCAGAATAAGCACAAAATTTTTTTTCTGGCACAAAATTAAGAGTTTTGTCCGTAGAGGTGGAGAGCAGACCAACAGTCATTCAAAATTAACTTTCTTATTGCTAAAATTATGTTCCTTGTTGTTAGCGTAATTTTTTGCACGTCACACTGTCACTAAGAGATTTTTAAAGCTATTGACAGATTTAATGGTAAACATTATGTGTGGGGATGACAAAACAAGCTATTGGCAAAATTCCCTCATTAAATGGCACTGTTGGGTGTCACATAATATCTGTGCACTATCGAATTGCAATTACTGTTTCAGTGAGGGGAGGGGCAGTGTGAAGAGCATTTGCTTCACAGTTGGATGGAATCATTCATCTGCAGAGGGTGAATCAGCTCATAGGTGTTGCCCATATCTGAAGGAGAAGTACAAGATAACTGCTCATTCTGTTTATTCTAGCACTAATGCTGGAGAGAAAGAGCAATTCGATTTGTTACTGATGATTTGTGGTATATGATGTTAACTTGGAACCTCTGTTATTGGATGAAAGTGACAAGTAGGAGTAGAGGAAAATTGTTCCATTTCTGCACATAGAAGGTTTACACATGAATGCCTGCCCACATCGTTGTAGTCATCAGTACGTGTCTGAATGTAATTAGACATTGAGAGAAATAGTGGATGTTCCATATACGATCGTACGAGAACCACTACATTTTCTCCTTTTCAAGTCACTGTACAGAGAGGTAATAATGCGTACAAGAAGTGTGTCAGCTATAAATAGAAAGGTACTAATTCTCATTTTTAAATGAGTTCTATATTTTTATTTGTTGACATATTTCATAGAAAACTGAAGGCAGTTTATTGGTGTTCCCTAAGGGATGCTTCCTAGGGGGAGAGGGGGAGAAAGGGAAGGTTGGGGGAGGGGACATGGCGTGTTGGGGGAAAAGGACATCATCTGAGCTATAGATAATGTAATTTACAAAAAACAATGAACAAACTCAGCACTCAATGGACCCCTAATAGATAAGCGCTCTATTGTAAGTGACTCACAGCAGCTGATTCTCTTGATTTCATACATAGTGTAAAGATACAGGGCTGGAAATTTAGCTCAGCAGCATAAGCACCTTCCTTGCAAGTGTGCGGTCATGAGTTCGATCCCTGGTACTGGTAAAAACGAAAAAGACCAAAAAAAAAAAAAAAAAAAAACCATAGTGTAAAGATAAAAACACTAAATGAATATCATGACAATAATAATTTTTTTGTACCGGGATCAAACTCATGACCTTGCACTTGCCAAGCAGGCACTATCATGCTAAGCTAATTTCACAGCCTAAAATATTTGCAAATATTTATTGAGCCTGTACTGTGGCACAAACCACTGTGGTACATTATTTTCTCATTGAGTCTTCTATTAGCCATATGAGGTAGGATTCATTATCATATCTTACAGAAAATACAGCTAATACACAAGAAGTTACATAGGCTTTTTCAAACTTACATGCTCAGTAAAGCCAGTCTCTGAGGGCTGGGGATTTAGCTCAGCGGCATAAGCACCTGCCTTGCAAGCAGGCAGTCGTGAGTTCGATCCCCGGTACGGATAAAAAGGAAAAAGATTAAAAAAAAAAAAAATGCCAGTCTATGAAGGGACGTTCCATGTTTTCATTGGATTCATCATTGCATTGCTGTGCAACATGACAACCCCACAGAGTCAATACGTAAAGGAGTGGCTGCCTGCAGTCTGCTGTATCCCAGCCACTGTGTCAGCCACTGGAATGCCAGGAGTATGAAGCCTGTCATTCCCTTTGATGTCTCACAAAATAGTATTTGAGTCCCCCCAGTAACACTCAAGTTGGTGAGTTTGGCAGTCACTGCGATAGAAGGAGCTAGATATCTGGGAGCACAGAAAATGACAGTCACTTACCCAATCCCCAGCCATCATAGAAGACTTCCCCTGACCTCTCCATCTAATGATAAATCTGTCATGCTTAGAGGATATTTGTGATCTCTTAATGTTTTGCTTAAACTAATAGAGGATACTGTTTGGGTAATGATAGAAAGCAGGTTGAGGTATAGTACTACCCTAGGTTTAAAAAAAAAATCTCCCCAGATAACCCATAAAATAGCTAAGAAGCAGAACATTAACAAAAGTTTCCAGCTTGCAAGATTCACTGACAGAAGGTGCTGGAACAGTCCAGGGATATGAATGTGTTTGCTCTTGGTTCACAGACAGGAAGGAGCTTGGGTGGCTCCATGAAGATCAGTGCAACCTAGGCCATCTGAAGGATTGATCACGGGGCACTGTCCTGCTACTCTGACACCTCCTAAAAACAACAAACATTGCCTGGTGTTAATCGCCTGGGTAAAAAGAAAAGGCTGATACCTCTTCCATGCTATGACAGGTCCCAGCTGGTCTCTGGGGAGGGAGCCACAGTTGCCACACATTCTGCAGAGACCTCCCAAGGCAAAGTGGGAATGAGAACTGGCATTCCCTAAGTACCTACTACGTGCCACACACTATGCCAGTCACTTTCAGCTATATTCCAAGTTTGCATTTAACTCTAAGTGCTAGGCCTAACTATCTGCATTTTAATACAGGAGAAAACTGAGACTCAGCTTCTACAGTCGTCCAGTGGATTTTTCTGTAATGATAGAAATGTGGTCTGTGCTGACCAATGAAGTAGCCTCTAGTGACAGGTCGTTACTGAGTACTTGATATATGGCTATCATGTTTGAGAAGTGGAATTTTAACTGTATTCGCAGTATTCTTATTAGTATAAATCTGCAGTGCATCCAGTTTGCAGTTATCTTAAAGAATAGGTACTGTTACATATTATAGCTTGATTCTTTTTTAAATCTCCTTCCCTTTCCTTCAGTACTCCTCTAAACCCCTTTTTCCCTTTTCATCTTTGTTGATATTATTAATCTTATCTCCTATCTATGACATACAATGGTTACATTCATTTAGGTTATTAGGTTCCTGTACATTACTTTTTTTCTATGTTTTTTAAGTTTTTAAAAAAATTTTTTTAAACTGAGAATTGAACTCACACCCTCTCACTTCCTAGGCAAGTGTTTATGCCACTGAGCTAAATCCCTGGACTTGTACCTTACTTTTGATTCATTTAAATTTAAATGTCACAGGCGAACTGACTTACACAAGATTACTGACCAGTTAGTTTGGAGCATGAGGTTCTGAATGCAAGTTTTGCGTTTCTGAAAGGAGCGCTCCAGAAAGCAGCAGTCCATTCATGCTTTCAGGCTTTGCTTCTTCTTTTGCTCATGCAAGCCCAGTTGGGAAAATGAGTATTGCTCATTCTCTATCCAGCTCAGTCTCCACAAAATTACCCATAAGTGATAGAAATAATTCCAAGAAAAATAAGGCAGAACATTTTTTTAAGGCATAACCCCACAGGCTGAACAGTTCTTGACACCATGAAATAATACACCCCAAGGAGAAAGTAAAGCTTTCCAATGAATGGATGACTAACTCTGAGTGTATGAATGAAAAAATCTTTACCTTTAGGCGTACTGAGGGAGAAGGGAAGATGTCAAGGCAGTTAGTGAAGGAAATCTATTTTGTTGTAGGACCTTCAGATTTTTCTTCACATCCACTATTTTGGAATCAAAAACAAACCCAGCAGTGGGAGCAAGATGTGTTCATTTATTTTTTTTTTTTCATTTATTCATCCATACCTTACTCCCAACTGACTTGTTAACTTGATTGACTTGAGATTTCAAAGGATGACTTTGAAACCAGATTCTACTTTTTCATCAGAAACACAAAATGAAGCAATTGCAATAGTTAGTTTATAAATCTATAGCATTTATGAATCTCATTTTGAAGATGAAGAAACAGACTCGGCTTAAGAGGAAGGATTTGTGTGAGGTCTCAGGCAAGGTCCATGAGACTTTCGCCTGCCCAGCCTCAATCATGAAACTGATCTGGAAAATTTCTCTTCCATATCCACTGTGCAGAGGCCAAGGGGAGGAATGTGATGACATGAATAAGATCAATGGTGATGGCTGCTCCCTTTTCTGCCAACAAGAAGTTTCCTTCAACTGCATTGGTAAGTCTCTGCCATGCGGCTCGGCTGACTGATGGATGGTAACAACGATGGTTATGAATAAATGAGCCTTCATTCCTGTCCATTTCATGTCCAGTGCTTTTTACCTGTAAGACACTGTTATAGTCAACAAGAAATACACCGTTTAAAAAACAATGCAAAAGGAAAGTGTTATTCTCATACATGATGACAGTGACAGGAAGCTTTTTTTTTGTTTTTCCTTTTTCCTTTTTTCTTTTTTTCCCCATCTAGGTCCCGGGGATCAAACTCACAACCTTGTACTTGCCAGGTAGGCAGGCATTTGTGGCACTGAGCTAAACTCCCAACCCAGAGAGCTTTTTTTTTTTTTTTTTTTTTTCTTTAAATCGAGTAGTACATAGAGATATCCTTGCTTTTCTCCAGACTAACTGTTCAAAATGACTGTTGCTTTAACTATACAAGGTTTTTATTCTTAAGAGATAAGACAAATCAGAAGCCAGGAAGATCATGAGACTTGTCCAGAGCTTACAGGTCAGAAGTGATTGAAGACAGAAATGGGACTTGAACCTGGTTTTGTCTGGTTCTCAAGTTTGTGCTCAGTCCATTGTGCTGCACAATCTCTACTCTGGATCCAGCGACTGCCATGATCCTCTGTGCAGACTCAAAACTAGAGGCAGTCTCTCTGATCTGAGAAAAGAAAAATAACAGAGCAGGCTGTGTTTAGAAAGCAAACGTCCTTTTCCCACCTTTACCGAGTCAAATGGGAAATGTGTTTTCCTCTGCCTTCTCTGCACAGTCTGGCCGATCTTGTTATTTCAGTCCCACTTGGGAGGCCTTGGCCAGCCCCGGGCTGGTAAACAGACAGGGGTTGGGGGCAGGGATGGAATTTTGAGCTGGCCCAGATGAGATCATACTTCCTTTAAGATGCAAATCGATACCTGAAGATCAAAGGTCCCCCAGCTAATCCCCTGGGCTGGAGGTGAAAACTAATCACAATTCATTTGCAAGTACAAAAGACAGAGGTGCTCTATCTGAAAAGGGAAGGGGCAGCTACAGAGGGGATGAAAACCTCGGTGGGAAGATTTCTCACTGAAAGGCAGTTTTCTAGGAGGACTAAGGGGGAGGAGATGTCAACGCATCCTTGCATCTGCAGTGCATTACGGTGATGTGTACAGATATTCTTTCTGCCAGTACGCTGGGCTCCAGGAGGGCAAAGCCTAAGCATCACCTACCTTATATTCCACTCCTGACACTCATTTATTGAGCACTTACTATCTCGTGACATCAAGTGGGCACTGAGCCTCACATTAGAGGTAGTCTACAAATGTTTGTGGTTGGAAAAAGAAAACAAACAAAAAAAGGAAGATGTTAAAGGAGGAAGGGCCCAGAAGTTTCTATGCAAGGCTTTGGATTTTTAAACTGCAGAAAATTGTTTTTCTGTCCTCTCTTGACTTGAATGTGGCTCATAGTAAAAAAAAAAAAAAAATGATGCTAGCATAGTGGTTCAGCAGAAAGAACCTTGAGTTAATTTCAGACAATCTGGGTCTGGCCAGAGTTGTGCTGACAACCTGGATACAGCCAACCAAATCATTCTGCTAGTCTGGGCCTCAATTTACCTGCTGTAAAGGGCAATGATTGAGTTCTGATGTCTCTACTTATTTATACTTCTGTTGTGTGTGATTTCCAATGTGTGTGACAGAGTTCATCATAATTGTGAACTCTACTTAATCCCTAAATTTTACCAATATCCTCATGGCAACTAACATTGCTACTAACAGTACAGTCTACTGAAAAATATCTGTCTGTTCCACTTACACTAGCATTACTTGTAACTCTAGTATTTTCGGGAAGAAAGTAGCATGTGCTAAAGCTAGAACATGGCATCTTAAAAGAGATACTTGAGCCCTGACATTTGCATACTATTGTTTTAGGACTGCACAACAACACACAGAAATAATGTTGTTACAAGAAGAAGCTTATAGTGCATGGAAGAAGTTGTATATCATGGTCCACAGACCAGAACTAATCTACAGCCTATATTTATAACTAAAGTTTTATTGAAACACAGATATACTTGTTCATTATAAACAGCCTACAGCTGCTGTCATGCTATAACACAGTCAAATGGCTTCAGTAGAGACTTGATGGCCCAAAGAACCTAAAATACTCCATTTCTGGTCTTTTATCTACTAATTGTGTCAGCTTCTGGTCTATGGATTTGGTGCATTTGATGCTCTTGGTGTTTTGAGTCGAGTATAGAATATAGGAAAACTATGACATTGTTCACCATTTCTTAGAAAAAGAACTAGGGTCAGGGATTTAGCTCAATGGTGTAAGCTCCTTTGTGGTAAGTGTGAGGTCATGAGTTCAATCCCGGATACAAAAAAAAATAAGGTACACCTGAATTTGAAGTGTACAGTAGTGGGCAGGAGGAGAATTTGCTGGACATGACACCAGACGATGGACCTAGTCCCACATTGCCTCACTAAACATGCTTCCCTCTCCACAGTTTGGCTAAAATGATTGTTTTGATGAGATTAAAAGTTCTCAAAGTCTGTTAAGTTTATAAGGAAAAGGTGAAGACCAGGGAGTTACCAAGATAAAGAGACTTGGAACCCATTTGTCCATATTACAGACTTTTTCTCTACAAGGCTCTAAGTGTTCTGTTGCTGATGGTAGTATTCACTGAACATCCGCCACGTTCTCGTGGCAGCTCTCTTATGCACTGTGTTTATCAAACAGGAAGTGGCATGATGATCCAAAGATGTAGAGTTATGTGGTAGAGCCAATTGAAACCCAGACTCCAGAGTTTGCTGTGATAAGCTACTTATAAAAAAGCCGCTGGTCTTGCAGAGCTTTAAGAGTGTGTGAGGAACATCTCATTACAAAGTAATTTATATAGCAATTTAACGAAAGAGAATACAAAGCTATTAGATGTATGGATTGTTTCCAAGAAGGATCTTTCTTATTCCTGCACTGAGTAGTATTTTTATTAGAGGGATGACCTCAAATGTGCCCTTCACTGGCCATTTAGAGTCCCATTGTAGATCCTCAGAGTGACACAGGCGTTCCAGACAGAATGAAACAACCAGGGTCCATTCCCAAGATAAACTTGTGTGAGTTCAAAAATCTCTGTCCTTCAGAAACAAACAGTTGAACAATAGATAATGAATATTTAGCTCTCGAAAGACTTAGTTTTTCTCTTAATATTGGGGACCAAACTCAGGACCTTTATCCTCAGCTACAGCTCTAGCCCTTTTTCAAAAAATTTTGACACAGGATCTCGTTAAATTATTGAGTTGCATAGCCAGGACTTGAACTTGTGGTCCTCCTACCTCAACCTTATAGAGTACTGGGATTGCAGATGCATACAGCATTCCTACCTAAGACTTAGCTTTAATGAATCTGAGAAGTGGGAATCGAGTGTGGGAGGCTTTGCCAAGAGGACATTGCTTTTATCATTATATATGCTAAGGAAGTTGCTCTAGACAGTGGGGAAAACAACAAGCTTGATGAGAGTAGCATTGATTCATAACATGATGTGTTAGCTTTCCATTGCTATGACAAAATACCTGAGAAAAACAATTTAAAAGGAAGAAAGACTTACATTGGCTCATGGTTTCACAGACCTCAGTCCATGGGCTCTTGGCCCCATTTGTTCTAGGATTGTGGAAGGACAGAACATCACGACAGGGAACCTGTGATGACATAGCATTTAAAGACATACCCTCCAAGGCCTACTTCCTCTTTTCAGATCCTCTTCCTAAGATTTTACTGCCTTCCAAACATCTCATTAAATTGTGACTCTAAGAATGAATTAATCCATTGATTTGGTTAGAGACCTCATGATCCAAACATCTCCCCAAGTCTATCCTTCTTTCCTTCTTTGCTCCTTTATTCCTTCCTTCTTTTCTTCCTCCTTTTTTCACCTTCTTCCTCCTCCTTTTTCTTCCTTCCTTTTCTCCTTTCCTTCCTCTTTCCTCTACTTGTGTTTCTTTTCTCCTTTTCCTTCCCTTCCTCTTCCTCTTCCTTCTTCTCCTACTCTGTCTCACTCTTTCTCCTTCTTCCCTGACCGTGTTCTCACCGCTGACCAGTTAGAAGAGCTGTTTTCCCTGGGTCAGTAACACCAGTGTGCAGATGGGTGACAGATTTATGGGGACATTCTCATTCACTTTTCAGAAACCCACACATCCGGAAGTATTCCCAAGGTGCCAGTGTGTTGTTATGTAACACCCAGGGGATGCCCTTTCCCACTTTCCCATACCTAGCGCCCCCATTCCCCAGCACATAATAAGTTGCTTATTAAAACAAACACCACCCACAAGACCTCTTGGGCAATCCAGGCTACATCCCCTGGCTTGTGAAAATTATCTTGTCCCTTTTCCCTCTTTTAAAAACATAACATACACCAGGCCTGGGGTTTCAGTTAAAACGTGCTATCAGTGCAGTGATAATTCCCCCCTCACCCTCCTGCAGGCACTGGCCACAGGCATTGTTCAGCAGCACTGGGAATTCTGCTCTAAAGCATTGAGTCATAAACTACAGACAGGCTGCTGATAAAAGCTGAAGGAGGGAAGGTAATGGTCAAATTAGTCAGACAAAATGTGAAGGATCCCCAAAAGGAGTTGGATTTAGTCATATATCTTGAGCTGGAACTGAAAACACACTATCTCTGAAGGTGACATTTAAGCCATTATGAGAGATGCAATTTTGGAAAAATCCTGTAGTGTTCTGATTTACCGCCCTGCATGCATCAGGGTAGTTGGGGCCAGGTCTCAATTAGACACAGAAGCCTTCTGTGCGGGACAGCTTCTCGGGGCCTCAGTTTCTATCTTTGTAAAATAAATGGTCAGACTGAATGCTGCAAGTCTTCTTTCTGCATGGGATGCTGAGGAATCCCAGGTTGGTCAAACAGCTATTTAAAGGCTTGGGGGTTTCAAATCCTGTTGATGCTGATATATAGTTATGAAAACAGAGCCAGAGGAACCCCCACATTGCATCTCTCAGCCACAGGCTCAAAGGCA